GATGACAGGTGTGCTATAATTGTCTCATTTGTTTGACAGATATTACGACCAATTGGTGGCATTGGAGTCGAAGTGTCCGCACATAGAGGTGTCGTTCCGATGGAATGATGCCTTCGGGAAGAGCGGCTCCTTCTTCTACACCTCCAACACTATCACCATTTCGAGCATCGCTTACGAGAAGGTCTGCATTCTCTTCAATATCGCCGCTCTTCAGAGCCATTTGGGAACAACTCATGTGAGCGAAGGTCTCAATAATGACAGCGCTTTGAAGCTGTCGGCGAAGTACTTCTCGTCGGCCGCCGGAGTGTTTCAGGCACTGAAACATACGGCCAGTTCTGCGGTCGGTTCCCACGACTTGTCGTCCGATATGCAGAACGAAGTGTTGAATATTTTGCAGAATTTAATGTTAGCTCAAAGTCAGGAGACATTCTTCCTGAAGGCCACCAACGATAACATGAAGGAACCCATTATAGCGAAGATCGCCTCCCAGTGCGAGGAGTACTACGCGGATGTGTTGAGACAACTGCAGGTCATCAAGTCATACCTCGACAAGGAGTGGCTCACTATCGTGAGTGTCAAACAGGCGGCCTTTCACGGCATCGCTGAGTACTTCCAGTCCATTGCCTGCCATCAGAACAAAGACTTCGGCGAACAGATCACTCGTTTGCAGAAAGCCGTCGATTGTTTCAAAGGCGCTGAAAGTCGCGGAACTCTGAGTTTCAGTCAGACTTTCAAAGAGTATTTGAATAAAGCGAACGTTGCTTTGGAAGAAGCGAAGAAAGACAATGACTTCATATATCACGCAAAAGTACCCGAATATAAATCGCTGCAAAGCTTTGGAAGGGCACAGTTGGCCAAACCCATAGCCGTTCCCGAGAGGTTCTTCCCTAACAGCACCGATATGTTCGAGAAACTCTTGCCTCTGGGCGTCCAACAGGCGGTCCAAAAATTAGAGCTCAAGAAGCAAGAGATCGTTAACTCAGAGGTGGCGTCACTCCGAGAATTGACTCAAACACTGAATGCAGTTCTCGTGTCTCTGAACCTCCCGGCGGCCATCGAGGACTCGTCCGGACACGAAGTGCCCAAATCACTCATCGATAAGTCCAATGCAGTCAAAGCCAAAGGAGGCGTTGATGTCATTCAAAGACTGATCAATGAATTGCCAGAACTCCTGCAGAGGAATAAAGAGATTTTAGACGAAAATGAAAGAGCGCTCAACACTGAAGAGGAGTCTGACGACAGCCTAAGGGCTCAGTTCAAAGAACGTTGGAATCGGACGCCTTCCAGCAAATTGAACCACAACTGGAAGGAACACATCTCGAAGTATAGGAGTATTCTTCATAACGCCATCGAAGCAGATAATAAAGTGAAGACCAAATTCGCGACTCATTTCCAGAAAATGCAATTACTGTCGACTGCCACTCCCTCTGCTTTAGCCGCTGCCATCCCTTCGGGTGCGAGCGGCGGCTCATCCCATCAGAACAGTCCAGTTGTGTCTCAACTGAGAAGTTTGATGTCAAATGTTGAGGCGCTTAAGAATGAGAGGGAAGTGATTGAGTCTGAGCTTAAGAATATGACATTCAATGACATGAAAAATAAATTCCTGTCCGCACTCGTGAAGGACGGAGCCATCAATGAATTGGCTCTGAGTACCGAAGCGTTGGGCGAAGTGTATGGACCGCTTCAGAAGCAGATCCGCGACAGTAAAGAAAGACAGGAGAGACTCATTGAAGACATTCAACGCTCGAACACAGAGTTCCTTAAACTGAAGGGAAATGCTTCGTCCGGTAGTAACGAAAGGGAGACTTTTCTGACTGAGTTGGCGGCCGCTCACGACGCCTATCAGGAGCTGCTCTCCAATCTGGAAGAGGGCACCAAATTCTACAACGATTTGACACAACTGTTGGTTAATCTGCAGAACAAAATCGAAGACTTCTGTTTCGCTCGAAAAGCAGAGCGCGAAGAGCTCTGCAAAGACTTGCAAAACGAAATCGTGTCGCGTTCTAACCCACCGCCCCCTTCCACCCCCGCCTACCACACCGACGAGCAACCCAAGCCTCCCAGACCTCCGCCACCAACAGCTCCACAACCTATGACTAGCGGTCCCACTGTTCAGCCACAGGTCTACCCCTTCAGTCAACCGCAACCACAGCCACAACCGTACGCCGCAAACCCATATCAACCGCAGCAATATTATTACCCCCCGCCTCCCCTCCCGTCGGGCTATAATCCATACGCAATGCAGACGCAGCAACAGATGCCTTA